GGGGGGGGGGGGGCTTTGCGGGTTTTGGGGTTTTTTTGGGTGTGTTTTTATGTTTTTTATCGGGGGCAGAGGTTATTTTTTTATCTCCCTAACAGTCATTGAAGAAAGAGACTTTCTTCATACTACTTAGGTTTATCAGACCATAAAGGTGTATGAGCTTTGGGCTGAACTCCAGCCTAAAAGAAACAAGTAGGCTTTTAATAGCTGTGTTCAGAAATGCTGAGGTGTTAAATTTCCTGTACTTAAATACAAAAGAACAACATAAAGCAGAGCTAAATTTGCAATCTGAATGACAAGCACAAGTTTAAAACACAGTATTAAAATGACAACTGACAGATCTTTGTTTTCTAGGTTGGACCAGATGACATTGGGAATTTTGATGCAGTGTTTACAGAAGAAATGGTCCCGTACTCAGTTTGTGTTTCTTCCGATTACAGCATTGTTAACGCCAGTGTCCTAGAGGCAGATGATGCATTTGTTGGATTTTCTTATGCACCACCTTCTGAAGATATGTTTTCCTAGGAAGTTAGAAACCAACAGTGTTTTGGAAGTCTTGGGGTGAACTGAAATCTTAGGGTTATGGACACATTCCAAAATAGCATAACTAGTGCCTCATTTTGTATGTAGGTTTGAAACCTATGAACAAACTTTCTCTGCTGTATAGGAGGAATATGGGCATTTTGGATGGCTTTCTTTGGGGTTTGAACTGTTTGTTCCTGCTGCAGAAAATATTTTTTAAAACCTTTAAAAAGTGTTCTCTACATATTTTTTAAGCAAAAACACTGACTGTTCTCCTCAATCCCTTCAAGTTTACATTCATACCTATGTAAGATTTGGCTGGCACAAACAGCAGCAAATTTAGTAAATTTATAAATGCTTTTGTACCTATTTACAGTGACTTTGTGCTTAAATTGTAACTATGCAAATTGTCTTTTGTATATCCTGGTTTAAAAAAGGTAAATGTTTTCCCTGTTGTATCAGTTTGAAATATATGTTAATTTACCTGTCAGCACTTAAATGAGGGGTTAATATAAGTTAAGAGCAAGATTCTTAAAGGACTTCTACAGAATGACAAGTTGATCATGTGAAACTGGATTGTTCTTGCATTTGCTTGCTTCAAGTACCCATTCACTCAACTGAATTATCTGAGGTATGGGGGATTACTTAAAGCAAGGATGGAACAAATTAACTGTATTGATCTGATAACATTACTGATCATGTGTTCTACTTTTTTTTCCTCCCTGAGATAAATGCGTCGGTATTTCAACTACATTAAAAATATTTTTGGTTAAAATTCTGCTTTTCCAAAGATAGAATATGCAATAATCACTGTTACTTTAAAAGACTATCTTGCTTTGACCTTTTGGGGGTGGATGGTGAGGGGATCATGCCAAATATTTGGGATTTTTTCTCATGGATTTATAGTTTGAAACACTAATGTTCCAAATTGATTGTATTTCAACATTTATAGCTACTTGTCTTGGTGTTCCAGATTGCACCATTTTTAAATCTTCACTTGATATTGGGGGGAAAAAAAAAAAGTAAATTACGCTAATTTTAAAAATGTGAAAAGCTGTTGTATTTCTCATAACATACATGTGTATGGACAGACTGATAATTCTGAACAGTTTCTGTTTAAGGAAATATTTTTAAACAATGCAAAAATTGACTGCAGTTACAGTGTATAAAGGCCTACCGAAGTAGTAGTTATATATATTACTTGTAAATAACAACTTATTTTTGTCTGTTACTTCAAAAATGTTCAGTGTTTTTTGTTCATAAATACATTCAGTTAAATGCCTTGATTTAAGTGTGGTAAGATACTGATGAGCCAGAGTTAAATGTTAGATAAATTTCAATATCTAAATCGTCTCATTTTTGACAAAATAAGAACTAAGAGAAATTATACCTATATCGCATCAAGATCAGTTAAAAATTGAGAACATTAGGGAAGAGAGTGTATCAAATAATAATTCTTCTGAAGTTAATTTTGTCAACAGTGAAACATTAGGCAAGTGGAAACTAAAACAGAATTCCTTGCTTATCTCAGTAAGTATCTCCTATAGCACTAGATCCTTCATAGTGCTTAAGTGATGCTGAACAGTTGCTGCGTGAGGTGTTGGAAGGAGTGCTTGAGTAAAAGAAGTAAGAATTGGCATGGAAGGAGGGAAGGAAGGAACTGTATCAGTTTCTGGGAGTGGAGTGGTGGCTTGGTGCTCATTTTCCATAGTGCTGCTGTGAAATTTTGAGAGGTTTGGAAATAGCTGTTCAGGACAACTAACTACTACATGAATCCTGTTCTTGCAGTTGTTACCATTTGGAAGCAACAGCCTTACTTTTTTTTTTTTTTTTTTTTAATATTTCTGATGGACTGGAAAGCAGAAATTGATTGTAGGAAAGGAAGTATCTTATACTGAATTTCTACTCTTTATACTCCTGAAATTATTGTGGGCTATTGTAACTACCTTCTCTTTATGGCAGGGAAGTACAGTACTGTAGAGATGGCAAGGAGAAGGGGATACTTCAGAAGTTGTTGCTGTGGGAATTGGCACCTCTTGTAGTTTCTTTGTCTTATATTTCCAGGATGTCTCTACCTAGCTGCCTGAATGGGTAAAGGGTTTTGTTTTGGGGGGTTTCTTTACTTTTGGGGTTTCTTTAACTAAATTTGGGGTTTCTTTACTTTTTTAGTTTGTTTTGTTTGTTTGGGGTTTTTTTGGTAAAGGCAGTGGTAGTTGAAGTTATTTCTTGGAGAGCAGCTTAATTGCTTCTTAAACTTCCCTTCAGCAGGCTCTGCCTTTCTGGTGTTGTGAATGTATTAAACATGCCACTCGTAATACTTAAGTTTGCTTTGTTTCTACTCTTGAGTTCATGTCATGAAATGCCTTGGTCACATCAGGACTCCTAAAGATAACACACAGTGTACAACATCTGGCAATAAAGCCTCACACTACTTTTGTGTCTAGGGCTCTTGTTTAGCATCTCTCTGCATTTCATGATGGTGGTTTTCAGAGATGACCAGGTTCAGAGTGTGATAGACCCAGTGCTGAGCGGACAAGTGAAATCTGAAGCACCAGTTGAGGGAAAGCCTAGACAGGAGACTATCTGTATTTTCTTCTCTATTCTTCAGACCCCACAAAAATTGACAGGAATAAGCAGAGGAAACAGGGATATGTCAAACTGAGTTTTAGGTAAAAAAAGACAGTATCCTTGCTCAAAAGGCCAGTCAGCACTGGAGGGGTTCCCATTCTTCACCATGCCAAAACAAATATTCCTTGCAAACAGATGAGCCTTTGAAGGCAGAAATGTGACAAGTATGAACTAAAACAGTACCAGGCACCTACCACATTAGGATTAAATGGTGGTGGAATCTTCTTCTGAAGAAGATCAGTCCAGCTGAGAGATTCAAAGAATGGGTGTTTTTGAATTTCAAGCTGCGTAAGGAATAAAGATTTTAGATATTTCAGAAATCCATCCTGTGCATCACAGTAAATACTACTTCAGACTGCATGCACATAAAGAACTCCTTCATCTGTTTATTTATTCATAGTTTACTTTGCAATAAAAGCTGTAGTTGGTAAAAACAGCAATTAAAATTTGTTAGCCTGCCTCTACAAACTGGTTTTCTTTTAAGATTGTATTTTCTTCTTTTAAGCTTTAAAATCAACCACCTTCAAGTTTACCACAGAGCAAGAATGATTTCTGTGTCTGAAGTCCACCACAGATCAAGAATGTTCTCGGCTCCTGCCTTAAAGTTTTGTTAGTTTTTGTAAAGCAGATCCTTGTCTGAGAAGTGGTTCTTCAACAACTCTGGAACATGCTTGCTAGTTACCAAGCAGCACAGAGCTATGCTAAATGCTACCGTCCTTTCATCTTGCTCCACACTTGGAAATGATCATATAGTCACAAGGTCAGGCTACCTAAAGCTAAGGCTGCAAACAGAAGACTACATAAGTCTCACAGTTAACTGGATGGAAGAAGTCATTCTAGATCATTCCTCACTGCACAGTTCTGAGGACATCTACACTTTCTCACATCACCTTCTTGCAAACAAAGTTTGTGGTGTTACACTGGGAGAACATTTGCCATGATTTTAAGGCTTAATAAAAGCTGCTGTTTGTATGGTAACAGTGTTCCTCTTCATCTGAAGACTGTTTTTCATGTAGTTAAACTGACATTACCAGAAAATAGTCTTTTCTTTTGATTACTTCCCAGTTTCAATACTAACAGTGAAACCTACCTTAGTACACCTTAGTGACTACTACAACAGGAACTGTGTTTCCTTTGCTGGCAGGCAGCAACCAAGCTCAAAATATTTATACCCCATGATAATCATCTCTCCTATAGCCAACAACTTTTAGGGATTCACCACACTGGTGTCTTTAACAAAGAAATAAAGAAGAAGAAAACGGACA